TCTTCCGCCCCACTGATTTTAGACTCAAATGAATCACACTCAAATGCATCACACTCAAATGCACTCAATTGACAGGCCCATGGCTCTCAGGGGCAGGCCCCATCTTCTGAGAGGGAGAGTTTTCTTAAAGTGCTTCCTCTATCACCCCCACATTTCAGGGCTCTTACCATGGGTAAAATGCATTCTCCTGTTTACAGCTGTTTACATCTCCTACAGGGGCATGGCTCTCATTCTTGTTCATTAGGCTTCTTACATGAAAGGTACTGGATGTATCAAAGCCTTTTCTGATCTACTGATAGTAAATAGGAAAAAAACCCAAGAAATTAACTGTGCCATACACCTATCCCCACAGGGCAAGTGGCCATAAATGCCCTTGTGGGGGTAGTCCTGCAAAAAGCAATCTGTACTCAACATCCAGGGAGAAGTCCGGGCTCTCTGGCTACTCTGTGCACACTGCTTTCAAATCACCATCACTTTAGTTCTTCGCTTCAATTTTCTTAACTGTGGAGAGGGGCTTCTGCTGTCCAGCATGGTGACTGCAGTGAACAATAACGCCTTGTCTGCTTTCCAGTGGAGCTTTCCCATGCTCACCACCACAACAAAATGGCAATTACATGGGGAAAGGATGCGTTAATGAATGTTACTGTGGTAAATGTTTCACAGTAAGCAGATATGCATCAAATCATCGCACTGTACGCCTTACTCTTTCACAACGTTACATGTCAATTATATCTCAAGAACGTTGGGGGGAAAAAAGAGATTTTGATGTTTTACTCCATCTAAGACAGCAGGGATCTTATAAACTAACCTCATGCATTTTAACTACTTTAGCAACACCTAATTGGTATCAGGAATCAGATTTTACTTTGGGTGGCCAGCTGTGCTGAGGAACTGTGGGTTCACCAAGACAGGGAGCTCTCAGAGTTAACCTGGGAAAGTCAGGGCAAACAACGAGTTAGTCACCCTCATTTCACTGGTAATTTTGTTCTACGTTAATACCAGCCAATAGCTTTCCCCTCATCTTGAAATATATTCATCGCTATCTACTTAGTTGCCTAGAATACAAAAGAAGATGTGAGAGATTAAGAAATCAAATCCTGGGGCCTCCCCGGTGGCGCAGCGGTTGAGTGCTGGGTTGCCAAGCTGTCCACAGCCTCTGCAGCGCCGGTTCGATCCCCAGCTGCTCCCTGGCCCCGAAGGAGGGTACCACATGGCGCGCAGGCCTCCCCAGCCGCCTGGCCCGCTGCTCCCCTCAGCAGTGTACTTCGGTCCCTCTGCCTGCTCTGCTCCCAGCTCTGGCTCTGGTGAATTCTCTCACCCTCCCACACTTCTGACTGTACCCAGTGCTTGTATAAATAAATAAATCTTAAAAAAAAAAAAAACTCTTCTTTAAAAAAAAAAAAGAAAGAAAAAGAAAAATCAAATCCTTCTCCTTGGGGAAACCAAGACTCAGCAACAGTAAACTGGGTCTCAGGTCAGCTTGAGTCTGCTACACTAACTCATCATGTGAACCCAAGCCTGGAAATCAAAGCAGGCAGATCCTTGACTTCTCAATTTACAAAAATAGAATCCTAGGGTTTGTTTTTTTTTCCTATACTCTACCTCCCTGAGTTGATTTGGAGGCAAAGCATAATATAGACAACACATTATTTACCTGAGGTTCAACTAAGTTGAAAGCAGAAAAGATCTTTGGATACCATGTTTCCCCATCATTTTTCTTTAGCTGTCATGCACTACAGAACAACAATTGGTTAGTTCCAACAAGTCCATGTGGTCATAAAGTAGACTACATACTTTTCCTTTTTTCTACTCCCACAAAGAAACCATCAAACAGAATGACTGCTAGCCACTTTCACCTGAATTCTTCAATCATTAGGAGGAGAAAATCTTACTTCAGAAGCAAATGCTGTATTTTGGATATTAGGAGCCATTTCAGTTCAAAGCCCACTTTTCTGAGGTCCAGAGTTTTTAAAAACATCTACTACAGCTGTTTTTAGTACCTGTCATCCCTAAGCCCTTTTTTAAGTGACTGTGGCTACAGTGATGGGTCACTTGGCACTCCTTCTGGGACGGAACACAGTGGCTGTTCAACAACGACACAGCAATGTCTCTCAAAGATGCAGGCAAAGAACTGAAAAAAAAAAAACAACAAAAAACAAAACCCAGCATTTTGGTTGAAACGGAAAAGAAACGTATTATCTGCCCTGGAGTTTTGCCAAGCTCTCTACTTGGGGACATGCTCTTTTGAGTTCACCTTTAATGATTGCAAGCTGAGGTTGGTATGACACTTTCTAAGATACAATTCTTCCAAATCTGAAGATTAACACTTTGGTACTATATACTTTAGTACCAAGACTTCATTCTTCTGGGCCCCAAACCTCTATCATTCCTGAGACTTCTAAAGCCTTTATGTTACGTCTGCTAGAAAAGTGATATTCTAACCTTAGGGGTGACCTGAGGGTGATTTCAAAAATAACCTGTGTCCCATAGGGCATGATGACAGATCCTAACATGCTTCCAGCAACACCTGTCTGGCTTCACACATCACTTTGTAGCCCACAAGTTCTAGACCAAAGACAGGATGCCTTTAATGTACAGAGACATGCACTCACATTGGCTCAATGATTTTCATGTTTCAGATGAAATATAGGATTTTACATGCATGCCCACTTTCAAACCACAGCTCAAAGTCACATCTTCTTTGAACAAGTCCCTTGTACCCCTAGAAAGAGCCTTCTTTCTCTCTCCTTAGAACCATTTTACAGTTGTTACCATATTGTGTTACAATTTTTTGTGTGTATGTCCCCTCTAGAACATGTGCTACTTGTCAGCAGAGGATATTTCAGCTTTGGTCTTAGGCTTGTTCAGGCACTTGGCAAGTGTTTGATAAATGCTTATGAAGCCTGAAAGACACAGCTACTAGTCTCATATTCCTCTGTGTAACTTACTTGAGGCTCAAGACAGTCTTGCCCTACTCACTTGGCATCCTCCAAGTCTTCAGTTTTCTCACTGGCATCATCTTTGTTCTTCATTCTCCACTCCACAATTTCTGCATTTCCTTTGGAGAGGGCGCAGAGAACCTCAGCTCTGACCTCTTGTTCATCCTGATACTGCTCTCATAGGAGGTCACAGTCATGCTTGGCTGACTGCAGGGCCATGGCAAGGGCAGTCTGGGACTATTAGGGGACACAACACACATTTTTAAAAAAGGCATCGTCACCATCAACAATGAAAGACTCAGAGGTGACATCATTTTTTAAAGATAAGGTTAATAACAACCTGCCACCAAATCAAGCTGAACCTGAACCTAGTAAGATTTAGTAATATTAGGGATAGAATTGGGGACAATAAGGGATAGAATATCTAATTGCTGCCGTAAAACAGGGAAAAGGTTCTATTTAAGGAAAGCCATTCTGACTATGTGGGCTTCAACAATAGGCAGGCTTAGAGTTCTAGAAATAGTGGAGAATCAAAGGTAGTAAGGAGAACATTCATTATCATTGAGAAAATAAGACTTATATTTAGCAATACATAAGCTTCAGATCTCATCTGAAATAGGAAGAACCATTCAGATTTAGTCTAGCCTCTTCATTCCACTGATGGAGACAAAACCTTTTATTTCACTTGGAAATCTCTGCAAACTTTCTCTCTGTTACTTTGAAACAACACTACCCAATAAAACTTTCTGTGGGAATAAAAATATTCAGGTACACTGTCCACATGGTAACCGCTAGCTACATGTGCTTAATTGAACACTCAAAATGTGCACTTTACAATGTATGGTGAAAATAGAATCTTAATTTTATTTCATTTTAATTAACATAAATTCGAATGTACTCAACTCAATGTAGGGTAGTCGTCACTGCTGCATTTATTGGACAGCAGAACTGAGCTTAGTGAACATTTCAGTTACTTCAATGGTGCTCTGGTTGACCTAGCTGCATTGTACCCAGGAGAGAACCTAGACTAGTTGGAAGAATGTGGCTTCTGACAGTCCTTGTGGATCCTTTATGAAATTTAGAAAAAGGCATCTTCTCAGGGACTGCAG